TATGTACTTGTTTTGAGTATCTAATGTAGAAGTTATAACCAAGTTCATTTACGAAACGGTCTTAATGAATGATATACTGAACGTATGTCCTCTTGATATATGTAACTCTTTGTAACTGACTGAATATATACCTTTTGTATTCTGATAACCCTCTCGATAAGATCTGTTAGTTTTACATACATTCTATGTATTAATAAGTGTATCCTTGTGTATTAGTACCTGTGTGTGTGCGTTGTTTGAGTTATATTGCATGGTTGGATTCTAAAGCCAACCATGCGATATAAAAGAATCAACTTTGTGATTCACTGCTACAATTAATAATTGTCCCAGTAAATGCCCAAACCCTACAGAACTGGTGCCTTCAGAGAGCCACTACATTACATTTTGGCTATGGCAACGTTACAGTCATTTTACGAGCGAGTATAAAGTACTTTGTTAACCCTGCTCCTGAAGTCGCTTAGCAAAAAGCATCACAAGTCAATTGAAAAACAATTGATTGACAATACTTTCATTATATGGTTTCTGTTTTGGTCCGTCAGTGGGATGAAATAAAGTTGTGAAAAGGAATATGAAGTAAACATGACAACATTATTTAACAACCATTTAAGCGAAAGAGTATAGAGAGACACAAAATGGGACACTTATTGTTTCTAAGAGAAAAGAAAATAAATGACTGACATGCCGTAAAACAAAACCAAGATGGACTGCGTGGACAGGGTATGCGTTCTGCATGACGTCTTTGATTTATTTTTTTGGCGCACTGCTATTGTTAAGAATCACTGAGAAAGGCCAACATTAAGTCACACCTAGAGTTTGCTAGAAGCCATGTGACAAAACTTGAGACTTTTTGGAAATTTTGAAAGTTTTGTGGTCTAGTGAGACTAAAGTTTTGCTCTTTGGCCTGAAAGCAAAGCGCTATGTTTGGCGCAAACCAAATACAGCCCAACACCCAGGTAACACCATCCCTACCCTCAAGCATGGAGGTGGCAGCATCATGCTCTGGGGTTGCTATTCAGCAGGAGGAACTGGAAGGGTTGTTGACATCAAGGGCAACATGGATGGAGCCAAAAACAGGCAAATCCTTGAGGAGAATCTGTTTCAGTTAGCCAGAGATCTGCATTTAGGGCAGGGACTCATTTTCCAGCATGACAATGTCACAGAGCACACAACACAAACTATCAAGGAATTGCTAGAAAAAAGAAGGTTAGCATTCTGGAATGGCCCAGCTAGAGCCTAGACTTGAATCCAATTGAAAGTCTATGGTATGACCCGAAAACTGCTGTCCACTGACGTTCTCCATCTAATTTGGTGGAGTTGGAGCAAATTTGCATTGAATAATGGGCAAAAACTCCACAATCTAAATGTGCAAAGCTCATACAGACATACCCAAGAAGACTCTCGGATGTAATTGCTGCTAAAGGACTATGTACAGAGTATTGACTCGGGGTGTGAATACTTTTTAAAATGAGAAATGTAAGTCTTTCATTCTGGAGAAATGAATATCCTTGAATCCTTTATCCGTGAATAAAAAATATTTTTTGACTCAAATGTGTTGAAGGTATTGTGTTATTGAAGGGAGAGAAAAGTATTTCAATGTGGTAAAATTTGGAAGTGTAACAGGAACAAAATGTGAAAAAATGTAAGGGGGTGAATACTTTCTGAAGGCACTGTATGCAAGTATATATATATATTGCTATTAGTATATAGCAATTAGTATAAATATGTACTCACCTCTGATGGCTCTGTTCTAGTTTCTGTTTTAAGTGGCACTTTGGCATCTTCTCTCTCTGGTAATTCCTCACGTTCTGCTGTCTTTGGTGATCTCTCTGGAACCTCTGTCTCTGATGATTCCTGAAGTTCTTCTCCCTCTGGTGATCCCTTGGGTAAAAACTGCAAGGAAAGGGAATTTAAAAGTTTCTAAGACACTGACATGAAACCACTCTGCCACATAGCAATTAAGTCTGATGCCCCCCCCCCAATTCCAGAGACAATATGTCATAAAATTGGCAAAGAAAGCAGGAAATTCAAGTTCCATTTGGAAAGGTTCAGTTTTTTTAAGGAAATTGGACACATCAGTGCCTTGCACACTCTATAGATATATAAATATATTATTCTGCATGTGTTATGTATACTGTATATTTCAAGAGGGAGCTGAGTCAGCCTGCGTAGGCTGCAAAGGTAAAGGTTTATTCACACCTGAAGAAAGCTCCATAGCTGAAACATTGTG